GTACCAGCCAAACCAAGCTAGGGTAGGGTGCGACCAACTTTGTAATTGTAGGAGAGAAAGCATTTCGTAGATATCATTAACATATTAAGGGAAATACGAAATCATGTGGTCCTACGACTATAAAAGATTATTAATAGGTGTGCACAGGATGTGGGGTTATGCATCAGTACAAAAGTTCCAAGAACCAATGTTATAATGTAATATCATAATATATATCTTTACATAATAATAATATAAATTATCGAGGTCTGCAGCTGCATGGGATGCACATTTAGCTCGTATGTGGGCGAGTGGCATTTTCGTCAGTTTAGATGATTATACCACAACCATGAGAACAGCAACAAGAGCAAATAGACTATGGGGAGTAGAGGGTAGTGCTATATAAGAGATCCCGAAACGGCCTGTATTCAGACGCGACTTGACCAGACTAGCCAGAGCACCTTCACGCCAGTCTGTTCTTTAATTAACCCTTCATTGCATATGTAGCAGATCTGCTACAACAACTAAAACGTAATATAACCAAGAAAAAGAATCAGTATCGGCATATAACTCGTCTTTTATATTATCATAAACATACCTATGTTTATATTTTACCGTGTTGATGTTACCTTATAGCCTCCTAACCACCATAAATCAGCTGTTTAGTAGTGTGCATCGTAATATCAGAAAACTGCTGATGGCATGTCTTTATCACATTAATTTTGTTTGAAATATCATAATAAACTAGTTGAAAAAATTATTATTGGATTTATTGTTGTCTTCTTAACATTTAAAATAGGTAGTTGTTTTTAAACAATTACCATGGTTATCAATGGAAAACCTAGTCAATTAGATAAGTTGCATATCTGCTACATATGCGTACAAGGTATAGTAATTGTCATTCGTTATTTATTTATTTTCTCTACATATTTGATAACTTTTTCTTTACTTATTGATCAATATTACATGTTTCAACGTTGTCATCACAAGTTTTCTTGGTAAGTTTCAAAAAATTATTATTTAATTTGTTTTTTTACTGTTTAATTAAAAGTCCTGTTTCAAATTAATAAAACAGGATATTTGTATCATTCATTATTGATCTACAAGAATTTTGTACTATGGCTTCAAAAAATATATTGCAAGATAATGAAATTGAAGATCTACTTTTTTTAACACCTCCTGAAGGATCTGAAGATGAATTAGAGGATTTCAATATAGATGAACTGGTTTGTGAAAATTATGATACTGATACATATGATCATAATGATGATAATGTTGATATTATCGACCTTCCTGATTTAGATCAAAATATTTTTATTCCAAATAATGATTTAGATTCTATTGAATTAGCAGATCCTATACTTATTGTTGTACCCAATTCTGAATCTTTAAATTTAGGGCAGCCTTTGGTAAATAGTACTAAAACTAGTGAAGTGTCAGTAGTGCACACTCCAACTGTTGATAAAATAAATACTACTAAACGAACCAAATTTCGTGAAATTAAATCTGTTGTTTGGAAAAAGCGACCATTTCAGATTTTTCCAGATGAAATTAAAGTTAAAGGTGACACTTCTCTCCCACAAGACCCTTTTTTTGATTTAGAATCCCCATTAGATTTTTTTAACTACCTATTTTTTTTCTTCTGATCTCTTACAACATATATGTGAAGAATCGTTGAGGTATAGTTTACAAAAAAATGTAAATAAACCATTTGAAATAACAGAAACTGATTTAAAACTATATTTGGGAATATGTATTATGACTTCCATATGTATTGTTCCTGATATTAGGCAATATTAGTCTGAGAATTTAGAAAATAGTGTAATAAAAAAACACTATGACAGTAAATAAATTTGAAAAAATTAGACAGTTCCTACATTTTTGTAATAATGATATTTATATCCCTAAAGGACAACCAGGGCATGATAAATTGTTTAGAATTAGAACTGTTTTAGAAACTCTTAAAAAAAGATTTCAAACTATACCTTTAGAGGAGTCACTGTCTGTCAATGAGCAACTAAGTGCTACTAAAGGAAGACATTACATGAAGCAGTATATGCCTATGAAACCTCATAAATAGGGCTATAAACTGTTTATTTTAGCAGGTGTTTCAGGTTTTGCCTATACCATTGAAATATATAGTGGCCAAGAAAATGACCCTCAATATCACCTTACAAATGAACCTGATTTAGGTGCAAGTGCTAATATAGTAGTGAGACTTTGTAGAATTATACCTACTTATAAAAATTATGTAGTATATTTTGACAATTATTATACTTCTTTGGGTCTTTTGGTATATTTAAAAAATATTGGTGTTTTGTCACTTGGAACTGCGCGTAGAAACAGGTTAAAACAAGTAAAGCTTCCAAATGAAAAAGAATTCATGAAATCTGAAAGAGGGTCATCAGCTGAATGTATCACAAAAATACAAAATAATATTCTAAGTGCATTTGTATGGAAAGATAATCGTTTGGTTACTTTATTGTCTACGTTTGTTGGTGAACAGCCAAAATCTGAAGTTTTAAGGTTTTCTAAGTCTCAAAAAAAAAGTGTAAATGTGCCATGTCCAAGTGCTGTAACTATTTACAACAAGCATTATGGGAGGGGTAGATTTGTTAGATGCCAATATTGGCAGATATAAAATCCTTATGAGGAGTAGAAAATGGTACATAAGGTTGTTTTACCATTTACTAGATACATGTGTGGTGAATGCATGGATTTTGCAAAAGAGAGTTCTTACACAAAAAAATGAAGATGATAAAATTATAACTTTGGCAAAATTTAGGGAGGTATTAGCTGTGTCTTTGTGCCAAACAGGTAAAAACATAAACATAACTCAACCAGAGGTAGACCTTGTAAAAAGGCTAATAATGTGTACATGACAGACAGAAAAAAACCTAGATTTGATTGTGTAAGTTATTGGCCAGTTTGGAATATTACTAGACAAAGGTGTAAGTATACAAACTGCAAAGGCTTTACTTATGTAAACTGCAGTAAATGCAAGACATTTATGTGCTTTAATAAAAACAATAGTTGTTTTGTTAGCTATCATACAAATTAGTATTTTTTTTTATATTTAATTGGCTTTGTTATTTTGTTTTTAAGCCACAAAAGGACATATTTTTATTATTTTTATTTATGTAATCAGTATTAATTTCAAAGGATGATTATTTTATTTTATTGTTAAAGATGGTATACATTTAAATAAAAACAATTATTTTCAAAAAGTAAATAATACCTATTGTATTTTTATTTTTTTTACCTATATTACCTATATATCATTCTTCTCGCACATATGTAGCATACATGCTACACCATAATAAGTACTTAAGTTTGGTACTTAGAATATAAAAATTGATTTTTAAATTATATTTTAAAGGTTCTAAGAGCCTAGGACAATATATAGAAAAAAAACTGTTTGTAAAAAAAAAGTCATGCAATGAAGGGTTAATTAAATTGGACTTAGGAAAATTCTCGTAAAATAATATTCTGAACTTAGAAAATATTCGAGTCAAACCGAATTTATTCTAGCATTTAGAATACTTAATTTGTTAAATAAAATTCAGCTTTCATGTTTAAAAATAAATATGTTTTGTCAAAATAAATAATCAACCAGTCTAACTAAAAATAATTCAGTGTTGTTTAAATTAACTCAAGAGTCACCTTCCAACATCATCCTTGACTACTGATACCTGTAGGCGACGGGATCACTACAATAGGAAATGAATGAATRTAAAACATACAAAACAGGTAAATCTACTTATTTCTTTATTTATGAACTATGGTAGATAAAACAATAGGTATCTTAAATTTCTAGTAGATTTGTACTTTAAAGTATTAACTTATTAATTATTATGTACCTACTCTTTTGTCTATTACATAAAAATCATAAAAATATTTAATATTATTAAAAACCCTCATGTAGTGTTTTTAACACAAATTATTTAAAAAAATTCCTATATTTTATGGAATATTGAATGGTTTTATAATAAAATACATATTTATCTAGATGTTACCTAATGTTTTATAATCTTATGTTTCCTGTAACAATTATAAAATTGCATCTCTGTTTGTAGGCTCATGACCAGATCATATTATCAAGTATACAACAAAATGAATCAAATATAGAGGTGGATTCAAATAGTTTTACTGCAGATAATATTTTGGACTATGATAATCTTATACAAGAACATGAAGCTTTAAAAACAAAATTTTCTGAACAGAATAGACTGAATCAGCCTGAAGTAAACTACAAAAGAATCGATGAAAATCTTAGATTCAACATGAACATTTTGCAAAAAAATTTAAGTAGGTACAACAAATAAATTATTAAAAGAAAACCAAAAAAACATGAAAGCAATTAAAATACAATCTCTAAACCAAACCAAGGCTGTTGATAATCAAGCTAGGAAATTACTTTCATCTGTATTCACTCAAAATCAGCTAGATCTTATTCTTAAGAAAAAGAAAAGAGTACATTGGTCTAGAGAAGAGGTTTCCAAAGCATTTACGCTTAGATACTTTAGTAAAAAGGCTTATAAATATGTGAAGAATGAATTACATAATCCTCTTCCTGGTAAAAAATACATCATATTTATTATTTTGTATAATTTTTTTAGTCAAAGTATTTATATTATAGGCTTGTCATGTCTTTCCCGGTGGGCTAAAACCATTGACATAAGAAAAGGTGTACTGCACGATGTGCTAAAAATTATGAAACCGAATGGTGAAACTTTAGAAAATTATGAAAAATTAACGGTCCTAATGTTTGATGAAGTAAAAGTTTCATATACTATGGAATATGATGTGTTACACGATCAAGTACTTGGTCCACATAATCAAATGCAGGTTGGTTATAATCTAATAATATATTGATTGTATATATTTTAACCAATGTATTTACAATTTAAATAATATTTATTTTAAATTCTAATATATCAATTACATTCTTAAATCTATTTTATATTGATGAAAACACATATAATTTGATTATATTGATGATAATTTAATTAACTGTTTAATTTCAGGTGGTCATGGCCCGTGGAATTGCTTCAAAATGGAAGCAGCCCATTTTTGTTGATTTTGATACTAAGATGACAAAACAAATTTTGATTGATTTATTTGATAGACTTAATCAAATTGGGTTTTAAGTCGTTTGCTGTGTGAGTGACTGTGTTGGAGGTAATGTTGGCCTATGGAAAGAATTGGAAGTTAATCATGAAAACCCTATATTTAATACACCTAATGGACAAAGTATTATATGCATTMCCGATGCACCTCACCTTTTGAAATTGATACGCAATTGGTTTTTGGACACAGGTTTTAATTTAAATAGTAATGTTATTAATAAAAAACCGATAGAAACGTTAATAAGTAAGATAACTACTGAAGTTAATGTTTGTCATAAATTAACGCTGATGCATTTACTTGTGAAGGATCACAGCGTCAAAATTTTAAATTGGCTGCTCAGCTTTTATCTCATAATACTGCTTCAGCTCTTACACATTATCAGCTTATCGAGGATACCAAATTAAATAATGACACTGCAAACTTTATCGAACTCATCAACAACTGGTTTGATCTATCAAATGTTGCTCATCCTCACGATTACAGTACTTCTTTCAAGTCTCCTTATGGTGCATTTTTGGAAGAACAGAGTTATATGAAACTATAAATCAAATGAGATGTGTAGGAAAAAATTGCTAACAAATATTTCAAAAAGGCATTTTAATGCACATTAATGGTACTTGACATCTTCTGAATGTATTAAAAGAAAATGGATTAAGCTATTTGCTAACTAGCAAAATGAATCAAGATGCTCTTGAAAATTTATTTTCTCAAATACAAACTAAAGGGGGACTTAACGATCATCCAYCTCCATTAAACGCAATTTATAGATTAAGAATGATTATTTTAGGTAAAAATCCTGGAATAACATATAATCATCCTAACACTACTGATGACAACAAAGAGGAATTCATGGTTGCTAAGGCAGTAAAATCAGTCAAATTAAAATTGAAAGATGAATATATTGGCGAAGATGAAATAATTAGTAGTGACACTGATACAGCGAGTGAAAATGGATCACAATAAGTCAAGATAAAAATAAGGTTGAAATGGATAGTGATGCGGTTGTATATTTAGCTGGCTGGGTAGCTAAAAAACATAGATTCAATATACCTGGAATTGGCAATACTAAAACTCAAGTAAATGAGAATAATATTAATAATACGCTCGGTCATGATTATAAAATACCCTTATGGATCAACCATGTTTCATATGGTGGGTTAATAGAACCAGCTCTGAATTTAAAAAGATAATTTTTCGAATAGATAGGTTGTTTAACAAATTTATTAAGAACACAATTAACAAAGGACCAAACATTGTGAAGCAATTAACAAACAAAGTTTTGTCTAGAATGGAAATTGAAGATAAATGGAAACCTTCAATACAAACATATATTAAACAGCGAATACTAATCCGTATGAAATATTACAACCAAAATGCATTATTGCTTAAAAAGAAAAATAAGGCTAAATTTCAATTAAAAAAACTTTCAAAATTAAAAAAAGTTATGACTTAATCGTGTTTATTGTAAATAAACTGTATTAATTGTATTTTATTATATTTTAAAATGAATAAACATTCCTTTTTTGTATTTTGTATATTATTATTTATTTTGTGTATCTTAACATTTATTTTTATAATTTATAAATTTAGATCATCTACTACTTCTTTGCAAATGTTTTACAAAAAGTTGCAAAATGTTAAAACACCAAATTCTTGTGAAACCTTTTTATCAACTTGTGATAAACAAATTTTATTGCGCCAAGGAACAAAATCAAAAATTCATGTTCAACCCACTTCAATTAGTCGAAGAAGACAAGGCATAACACGAGGAAGTAAGTAAAAGGTTAGCTGTTAATTGTCCTCCATCCGGGGAGAAAGTAAAAAAGTTAAAAGAAAAAGAAATTTACAAATAAACGTTCAACAAAATCAACAAAATGTGAATTCTAATGGAAATGGTCATTAATTAGTTTTCATGACTAATTTCAGCAACATCTTATTTTATGACTGACAACAATTGATTTTTATCTTAACCCTTTGAGGCCCAATGATTACTTTAAGAATCATGTAATATATGTATTTTTATTATTTTTTCAACGTTATCAAGGCTTATATGTTTATAATTAAAATTATGGGAATTATATGTTCTTTCTAGTGGTAGTACTGTTTATTGTCATGGTGATTGTTATCATAATGATATTATACATTTTCTAACAGTTGTTTGAGATTACTAACACTCACAAAATATATACATCTTTGAACACGACTTTTGGTAAGTTGACTTACGTTTTTGAATTTAAAAAAAATACTGTACGATAGAGTATTACCTAATAAACATAAATATTATACATTTCAAACAATTGCTAAAGTTGTTGTACTCAAAAAGTAATGTAAATATGATGACTCCTAAAATTATCATTGGGCAATAATGTGTTGATAATAATATAACACTATTACTCCATGAATGCCCAATGATAATTTTAGTCATCATGCAAATTTATTTTGTTTTTAATTTGTTATTATATATTTTTACTTAGTTTATTTWAAAAAATGGTATTTCAATCAAAAGATGAAGAGATTGCTGATATTTTAAATGGTGATACTTCAGATATTGAAGAATTKTATGAGGATGATATTAATTTAGACAATTTGGATGAATTATTAATGAATGTGAATGACGATTATGAAGTTAGTTTTTATTTTATTTATTTTTTGGATATAATTATTTATTAAAAGTTAACTTTAGGACATRAATGATGTAAATGATGTGACAGAAATTAATGATATTGATGAAATTGTACCTGCMAACAATGTTGAAACAGAAAATAGAAATAATAATAAAGAAATAATTTATGAAGTTGCCAATGGTAACAAGACAATAATTACTGAACCAAATTGGATTTCTGAACAATGGAAGGAACCAGAAACTGATTGGCAAGGTAAATTACCAGATCCAGATCACTATACATGATTGTATAACTGGACAACCTTACTGCTATATGTGGCATGAAGCGGTTGCAGGTAGGGGTGCTAATCAAATAGCATCTTGCTTATATCATTTTTTAAATGAAMAAATTCCTGATAATATTGAAGAGATTACATTTTACAGTGACACTTGTGGGGKCCAAAATAAAAATAACCATGTTGCCTGTATGTTCCAAGTTGTTCTTCTAAACCACCCTACACTAAAAACAATAAACCATAAATTTCTCACACCAGGCCATACACACATGGAGTGTGACAATGACCATGCAGCTATAGAAAAAAGGAAGAAGAAGGGTGGTAWGGTGATATCAATTCCAAATGATTGGTATCAACTAGTAAGAACCACTGGCAAAAAAAAAAAATTTGAAGTTATAGTTATGTCTCAGGATAATTTTATTGATTTTGCTTCCCTTTTAAAAACAAACTTACAAATTTAAAAAAAAAATACAAAAGGTGACCAARTTATTTGGCAAGAAATTCAGTGGCTACAATATAGTAAAAATTTTGGTTACAAAAATGTTATACTGGTCCTCTACCTATAAGCAATGAAAAAAAAAAAGATCTGCTATCTCTACTTCCTTTGATAGACCCTATTTATCATGCATTTTATGAAAATTTATTCACAGCTCAATAACAATGTGATATTGATCCAGATCTGGAAGAATTTAATTTTGAAACTGACTGATAATTAATTTGTTTTTATTTTACTATTTAATGTTATGTTGTAAAATGTATTTATTTTTTGTTTAGAAGTTGTAATAATTATAACTTAAAAGTGTTATTTTTTTTTCTGAATTATTATTAAATTGTTTTATTCTAGTTCTATTGTACTAATTTGTTGTTTATAG